CATAGTTCTCTCCTATGGGGGCGTGGTAACCAATGTTGCACTAGGGCTATTTGAGTGATGAACAAAATAAGGACTATTCACATCCTCAGCAATTGTAACGGTTTAATTGGAAACCATTTTTTGAGGCCATAATTGAACTCAGCTTAACGCTCTAATACCACGATAAAAACCGAGTGTTGGGAATAAAAAGAACATTGCATTTTCATTAAAACACTAGAGAGTTAATGTTTGATTAGGATTGTACAAAAAATAAAGATAAAATAAGAAGATAAGCTAGAAAGGTTGAGTTGTAGAGTTCTCATGCATGAGTTTTGCATGGGCCAACAACATGTGGTCTGATGATGAGTTGCTGAAGCGGCCAATAAACTGGGAACACAACTTTATTGCAGCATACAAATTTGCATTTGCACTCCAAAAAAATGTAACCTTTGTTTCAAAATATCTACTACAACAATATCCTCTCTAATGCTTTCAAAATATCTACTACAACTATATTGGAAGCATTAAAAAAAACAAATGTCTCTTTTAGAAATCAAATTTTCAATGTCCTTTGAATGAACCATCTACAACTTCTCACTGAAAAAGAAAGATCCTTTGAATGAACCAATTAGCATTTTGTGCTGCTATTCCAATCAACTGCGTAACCACTTCACCAAAGCTCCAATGTTACCTTGGTCCACTGTGTCCAAGAAGCAAAGCGATGTGCAGATGGTTTACCTAACCTATCTTTCTGTTGTAGATATCTTACTAGTCTTCTAGCTGATGTTTTGTCTTTTTTTATGGGAAAATATGTTGATACTCCCAAGGGAGGTTTTGTAAGTTTTCTATTAGATATATAATACTATCCTATTCCACCACATATAAATATATATATATATATAATTATATATGTCGAATATATAATCTATATGTATAATATAAAACCGCATTGTGTTGAATTGGCACATTGCTGCAATGTAGTTAACTTGAGAGAGTACTTTGTTTCTCTTTGGTTGTTTTGAGAATCCATTTTGTTGCGTTTTTTTTTTTTTTTGAGATTTTATTTATTTATTTTTCAAAAAATATTATTAAAGTTGGATGCCATTACATTTGGATTTCCAAAACACTTTTGGGAGACCAAGCGTCTCAAAAATCATGCATTAGATTCTTAAAACCAAACTCAGTCTCTCAAATTCTCCCTTTTCAATTATCTCAAACCCAACTCTCACAACCTCTCAAAACCGACATTTTCAAACGTTTCAAACCCAATTTTCACAACTTCTCATACTCCCACACATTGAGGAGATCAAAGACATCATTGCAGTTTTTAAATGTCTTCAATTGTAGGTTTTCAACCTTCAAGATATATATTTTTTTTTTAGTTTAGTAGATTCAAACTCTTAAAAGTTTCAAAACATTCTAAGTTTAAAACTCTTCTTGGTTGCAAACATTTAGTTGTACCCAAGGTTCAAAATATCGATACGCCTGGTATGTCGGTAGGGGCGTATCGAGCAAATTGATACACATTTTGGTTGTTTTTTTTTTATTTTTTTTGCAACCGGTTCAGGGGGGCCGGTTTAGGTCTCCTCTACCCCCTGAATCAGTCAGACATCCGATACACCCACTGTAGGGGCGTATCGGAGGGGTCTCGGAACGATATGTATCGGCCGATACAGGTCGATATGTGTCGATACTTTGAACCTTGGTTGTACCAACTGTAGGCTGTAGTTGTAGTTGGTGACGTTTGTGCGACTCAAATTGTCATCCAAATTTTAACCACTTCTAAACATCAGGTAGGAGGCCAACTCCCTTTTTGTTGTGAATAGATGTATAGAATATTGAAAAATGTAAGTTTAAAAAAACAAACCGATGAGCAGATGATTTAACTATGGCCCATTTGGCAAATCTTTTTGAGAAGATCTTCTTGTAGCTCTGACAGCCAATAGACACATTGAGTTTTTGACATAAGATCTGGGCAGCCCGAAGACCATTTGGCAGACACGCATCTTTCCATGTGTTATTTCAGGTCTTTCCTTGGGAGATTAAAACATGAAAGGCGCGAGAAGCTTCATTTGGAGCTTCCCGAAATTAGCCCAAAATAGGCTTCGTGCGTCTTTTGGCAAATAGATCTTTTGCGTGACAAATAGGAATAGACCGATTTTCGGTCTTCCCTGCTTATAAGTAGCCGAAAGACCGTGCAAAAAGACGTACCAAATGACGCCTAACATATCTTTCTCTAGATCTTTCTGTTGTAGATATCTTACTAATCTTCTAGCTGATGTTTTATGTAATGTCTTTTTTTTTTATGGGAAGATATGATTGATACTCCCAATGGAGGCTTTGTAAGTTTTCTGTTAGATATATAATACTATCTTATTTCACCATATATATATATATATATATATAAGTAATTATATATGTTGAATATATAATCTATATCTATATATTAAACCGCAATGTAGTTAACTTAAGAGCACACTTTGTTGCTCTTTGGTTGTTTTGAGAATCCATTATGTTTTGTTCTTATTTTTTTGAGGTTTTATTTATTTATGTTTCAAAAAATATGACTAAAGTTGGATGCCATTACATTTGGATTCCCAAAACACTTTTGGGAGACCAAGCATCTAAAAAGCATGCATTATTCTCAAAACCAAACTCACAACCTCTCAAATTCTCCCTTTTTAAATGTCTCAAACCCAATTCTCACAACCTCTCAAAAACCGACATTTTCAAACCCAACTCTCACAACTTCTCATACTCTCACACATTTAGGAGACCAAAGGCTTCATTCCAGGTTTTAAATGTCTCCGGTTATAGGTTTTCAATCTTCAAGGTATTTTTTTTTTAAGTTTATTAGATTCAAACTCTTAAAAGTTTCAAAACGTTATAAGTTTCAAATTATTCGAGGTTACAAACATTTAGGCCCTGTTTGGTTCACAGGAATAAGGGTATGGAATTGGAATCAGAATGGGCTATTCCGATTCCAACTGTTTGGTTGGGCAGAATTGGAATCACATTCCCATTCCTGCTAAAATGACATTCCCCCATTTGAGGAAACGGCCATTCTCTACCCCTCCCTTGGGAATGAAATCCCATTCTTGCTAATTCCAATTCCCATTCCCATTACTATTTGAACAAATAGACTATGGGAATGGATCGATCCGATTTTGATTCCGGAGGATTTTGATTCCGATTCTAACTACAAACCAAACGGGTCCTTAATTGTACCAACTGTAGTTGTAGTTGGTGATGTTTGTGCGACTCAAATTGTCATCCAAATTTTAGACACTTCCAAAATTTCTGGTAGGAGGCCAAGCCCCTTTTTGTTGTGAATAGATGTATAGAATATTGAAAAATGGAAATTTGAAAAAACAACTAAAAACATTAAAAATAGAGAAGAAAACTAATCGGGTCGGCGTGTGACCATTTTACCGTTTGGATGAAGAAGACGATCGAAATGGGTTCAATAAACCCGAATTTGAAAAGTCGGACTATATGTCCTAACCCGTGTACTGTATAGGTTCACCATGACATGTGTATAGTACAAGTCATTTATCTATATCTACAACCAATTTAAATTTATACTAATTACACCAATATTATTAAATCTGTTAATTTAACAATATTATTTGGATTGGATTGGAACTAGCCTTACCCAAATGAGAATAGTGAAAAAATACTAAAAAAATGCTGAAAATCTATAATTTAATTAGAAAATACTAAAAACAGTGAAAATAATACAATTAATTTTGTTTGTAATTATTGAAAATAAACTGAAATTATTGAAAATTAATTGAAAATTGTTTTTAGTGAAATTTCAAAAATGACTAACAATTAATGAAAAAATACAGAAAATTAATGAAAAAAATACAGAAAATTAATGAAAAAGGATTGAAAATACCAAAAATGCAAAATATTTATAAAAATAATTGAAAATCATTAAGAAAATATTGAAAAAGGCAATAAACAGTTAATTTTCAGGTGAAAATTTATTGAAAATCAACTGAAAATTATTGAAAGATTAGTAAAAATTAATAGAAGTTACCAAAAATTATTGAAAAAATATTGAGAATTAATTAAAATACCGAAAATGCATTAATAAATTACTTTTTGCTGAAATTATTTTTTTGGTGAAATTTATTAAAAATCAACTAGAAATTAGTGAAAATTTACTCATAAATTCATTTTTTCTTAAAATTAATGAAATAAATGCTGAAGCATAATGAAAAAATTACTGAAAACCCATAGTAATTATGAAAGTGCACAATTTTATTATTGAAAAATAACTGAAAATTGTTGAAAAACTATTGAAAATGCTAAAATTACTAAAAATTATTGAAAATATCTGCAAATCAATGAAAAAAATACTAGAAATACCAAAAATGCAAAATATTTCTGAAAATTAATAGAAAACTATTAAAAAACATACTTAAAAGGAATCAAGATTTGTTGAAATTAATTTTCCAGTGGCTGCTAACAATCGAGATATCCTTTTGACCTTTTTTATCATGAAATATAGCACTAACAAATAATATGTAAAAACTAATTATTTATTAAATAATTATCAATAATTTTTTATTTTTGTTAAAAATTTGAATAATTAATCCAAATTACTACATTACTAAATTATTTGTATAACAGATTATTAAAATAAAGATTAACTATTTTAAACAATATATCATTCCTTATAATATTTATTCGTTTTTATTGTTTTAACTTCCCTTGACAAATCCCATGACAAATCCCATGCATCACGAGTCACCACATTAACAATTAATATTTCATTTTGATACTTTTTATCAACAAATTGCATATTACATTTTTCTCCTGCATCGCACGGGTTCCCACTAACTATATATTATTTATTTCAAATATCACTTGTCCAACGGTGATGAACCGATGACCCGCGACCTAGAGGAAAACGGTTCATCCTCAGGGTCGGTTTTTAAAACACTGCAATGCAACGGAATGGAACAGATCGGGATTATAGATTAGGCACAATAGGCAGTAGAAGAGAAAGGTCTCACACCATCGAAGACAAACGAAATTGTTCCACTATAAAAGATTCCTATCCAATGGTTCTGGGTGTAGATCGACTCCATTCCATCACCCAACAGTGACTTCTCTCCACGGAAAGGCTAGATTCTTTCTCACCGGCAGGGCAACGAAAACTATAAATAAGGGAATCAGAATTTTGAATAAAGGTCGAGGGGTCAGAGAAACGAGCATCGAATCGAAAGGGGTTTAGGGTTCTCTTCGGTTCTGTGGAGAATCATCATTCGAAGCTCTCCAATGGCGGGCCTATCCCTCAAATGTGGAGAATGTGGGACCCTTCTCAAGTCTGTAGAAGAAGCTCAAGAACACGCAGAGCTCACTTCTCACTCAAATTTCTCCGAATCGACGGAAGCAGTCCTAAATCTCGTCTGCACTACTTGCGGAAAGCCCTGCCGATCCAAAACTGTATGATCTTTGTTAACTTTGATGTAATTGTGGGTAATTTTGCTTTAATTTTGCTCTGGAACTTTTTTTAGTACATCTTGGTGTGTTTATGGTTGTTGGTATTTTGTGTTTTATATTTTGAAGGAAACTGATTTGCATACGAAAAGAACTGGACACACTGACTTTTCTGATAAGACTTCGGAGGCAGCAAAGCAGATCTCTTTAGAGGTTCCGAAACCTTCTGCTGATCTAGAAGAGAGTGTTGTTGCTGGTGAAACCAGTCAGCCTGAAGGTTATATTCATTTCTTATGTTTTTGTTTTTTGTTTTCCGATGTTGTAGGTTGTAATTGTTAGAGAACCTCACCGTTCAGGTTCCTTGAGATGGTGGTATCAGAACCTGTTTGACCAAGTGGTCTAGTGTTCGATTCTCCTCTCCCCCATTATGATTAATTATATTTCAGCACAAGGCATGGGTGGGCCTGTGTTTATCCACCTTCAAGCCGATAGGCTTTCGCGTGAGGGGCATGTCAGAGAATAAAAACTTATTCAAGGACCTCACCTGACAGCTTAATCTTTTAGGTTGAAGGTTCCTTGAGAGTAATCACTGCAAGTTCTAGTTTTGGTTTTCTGCATTTTATTTCTGTTGTGTTATTCAATTTGATTGAAGTCACAGTTGGGAGATGAGTTATTAGACCTTTCCCCCTTTTGGTTTGGTGCTGTTTATTTTAATTGGTTTTGCTGTTTATATATTTTTTGATAATTTTACCCGTTATGTTGATTAATTTGTCTGCTAACTTCACCGTTTTCTTGGATGTCATATTTGTTTGCCTCTCCAGGTTTATTGGTTTGGGTACCCATGACCATAGCTGTATATTTGTGGGAAAGTTGGTGCTAATTTTTTTCTGTTGTTTGTTGATACTATGAATGAGTTTAAATTATCAAAAAAAAAACTATGAATGAGTTCAACTATTTTTCTTTTTCTTTTTCTTTTTTACTTTTCTGTGGTTTTCTGCAAGTTGAATATGCCAATATGCTTTGGTATGTATGTATCACTATCTTTCTTTCTTTTGCAAGTTGAATATACCAAATTTGTGTGCCATTAGTTATAACTTTTCTTTTTATTATTGGTAGTATTGTATAATGTGGGGTTCTTGTTAGTTAAGCTTCTTCACTTCTTTTGTACCTATGGATTATTGATTGCAAGTTTTATTTTGCTAATTTATGTATTTTTTGGTAAGGTCCAGATTTACTAGTTTCATGCTGCCGGTAATGGGAGTTGTCTTTTGTTTTTAATTTGCTATAGTTTGAGCCTCACCTTTCTTTTCTGGATAATCTTAACAACTTTCTCTGTACAATAAATTAATGTTCATGGTTTCTGAATTGAAAGATAGATTGTTGTCTACATTTTTTTATATATTTGATTGGTATTTGCTTTCACTTACTAATTTATGATTTCATAGATTGTTGTCTACATTTTTTTTTTATATATTTGATTGGTATTTGCTTTTACTTACTAATTTATGATTTCTTTTTTATTAAATAATCTCTTTTCCTTCATCCAGAAATGGTTGTTCCAGAAGTTGATGCAAAATTGCTTGAGGAACTTGAAGCAATGGGATTCTCAAAAGCCCGAGCAACACGTGCACTGCATTATTGTGGTGAGGCCATTTTTAATTCCAAAACACTTTTTTATTATGAATACTTATTTCTTATAACATAGTAACAGTGTAATCCTGCTTATATATGCCTAGTTAATTCTGTTTTTGATGTTTTGATGGTTGAATTTGTCTAATTATTAAATCCTTGCGAGCAAATAATTTTTTAGATTGAATTTTCAGGTGCTTTTATTTTGAAAAATTATATTTTATGCATTTAAATTCATTGCCTTTTGTGAACTTCTATCGGCCAATAGGCTACTAAACTGCTAAATGATTGAAAGGGGGGACTGGGTGGTATTAAACTCAGTATGATGACAGCTAGATTGAACATACACCAGGAATTTGACCTGTCATTTGGCCAATCCCACCTTGACTGTTCTGGATAAAAAATCTGTCCTAATTTGTCTATTCTAACCATCTGAATGATGGGGTTTCTGAATTTAATATAACAAATGGTTAATATTGAATATTTGTTTTCATTTCTTTCTTCTCTTTTGTATTATAATTAAGGTGGAAACCTTGAATGGTGCTCTCATTCCTCTGCATGTTGCTAATGTTACCAGAACCTGACAGACATTGCTATTAAATTTTAAACCAGTAGATTGATGCTCTTTGCATATTGTTGGACTCTTATAGTAATTTTTCTGGATACTATGCTTTTTTTTGAGGTAAAAATTTGTTTTTACAGAGCACTTACCATAATGGGCTGTTTTTTTATCTTTATTTTACTTCAACTTAAACAGGGGCGAACCTGTAATTGTACAAAATTCAGTAGTGGCTGAATTATACAAAGATGTTGGGGGATATCCTAACCCCCACGACTGATTGTTCTCTCCCAACTTCTTCTCTTCTCTCTTCTTCGCTTCTCTCTTATCTTTCTTGCTTTCAGCCTCTTTTCTTCAGGTTTTTCTTCAGTTTTTGGGGTAATTTTTACTGCTGAAAATCCAAGTGTTTCTTGATAACTAGTTTATGAATCTTTATTTTATGAAAAATATTGAAATATCAGTTTAATCTAATTTCAGTGCACTATTCAGTTTTCTTTCATTTATTTGATGTTGCATTTTTCTTTCATGCAGGTAATGTTAGTGTTGAAGCAGCTGTAAACTGGGTTGTTGAACATGAGAATGACCTGGACATTGATGAGATGCCCCTGGTATGATTGCTTCCTTAATCGTTACATTGTTCCTTGACTTATTTCTAATGCTTGCATATTTTGTTTTCATTTTTGTTTTTTTTTGGGGGGGGATGTGTAACTAATAATTTGTTAAAGAAAGAAAAAAGGGTAAGGATGTGTAACTAGTGTCGAAGCAGCTGTAAACTGGGTTGTTGAACATGAGAATGACCCGGACATTGATGAGATGCCCCTGGTATGATTGCTTCCTTAATCGCTACATTGTTCCTTGACTTATTTCTAATGCTTGAATATTTTGTTTTCATGTTTTTTTTTTTGGGGGGGGGATGTATAACTAATAATTTGTTAAAGAAAGAAAAAAGGGTAAGGGAGGTTAAGAGCAGCTGTTCTCTAGTCCGTTTGGGAAGAAAGGAATAAGAGGATCTTCAATGGAGTGGAGAAATCAAAGGAAGAATGGTGCAGGAGCTGAAGAGTCAAAATTGGAATTTTATGATATTTTATGTATTTCTGTATTTTTGGACAGTAGGGGTATTTTTGTCATTTTTGTAATTTTCTGTGGGGTCCAATGGTAGGGTTTAAATTTTTTAGTTATAGTTTGTTTATGTTTAAAATTTCAGAGTCATTGCATAAGTAGGATTAGAGTTATTAAGTTTTCTTTGAATTGAAATAGGATATGACAGCTTAGTTTGAGTCCTACTAGGATTATTGAGTCTAGCAGTTTGACTCCTAAGACTATTTTGAGTCTAACAGTTGGACTCCTAGGATTATTATGAGTTTAGAGTCAATAAATATGTATGGATGTTTAACACAAAGGCAATGAATCATATTGAGTTTTCAGCTTATGCTTGCTATGGTGAGTGATTCCCATGCCCTAGAGTGATTCTAGGCACCCCGTGAGTGATTCTGATGGATTCTCAGTGATGAAGCTGTTAGACAGTTTTGTATGCCCTTAGCTTCAATCAGAATGATGCACTTTATGAGTTTATTGTAAATGAATAAAGATACATATTTGATTCATGTTCCCTTGGTATGTTTCTGTGTAATACCCTTAAACTGGACA